CCCCCAGATGAAGGGAGTGGCCCCAGCCCCAACCACCCCGACCGGGCAGCTTTGGGTGGGGGGGTAAATGGGGGGGTAGAAGCCCACCTAGATAAAGGTGGGCAAGGTTGAGAAACACTGACGTAAATAATCCAGCAGCCGCAAACCACACTTCTAATTTTTCAAGGTTGTATCACTCCAGGGCATGGTAGGAAATTAAAATGAAAGTCATACATTTCAAGCAGTCACAGACTTTGCTCCAAACAATGGATGATGCCCATTATTTGCTGAATCAGTCTGGAGAATGTTGATTTATTTATTTATAAATCAAATGTATACGCTGCCCTTCTCATTATATAAGTGACTCTAGGCGGCTCATAAATAAAAACAATAAAAAACAGTAAAAATCTTACAAAAATATACCGAGTTAAAAGACGGAGAGTGCCACCCCCAGCGCTAGGTGCCTTCGCTGAGTCCCCGCGCTAGTTGGCAGAGCCAGGTCTTAACACTCTTCCCGAAGGCTAGAAGATCGGGGGCCAACCTTACCTTGGGGTGCAAGATGTTCATGGCTTCCTCTCGAAATGGGAATTTGCTGCTACCGCTAAAAAGGGTTGCTTGGGTACAAGTGGGTTTTTAGCTCAAAAAATCCCATTAGCAATCTAGTGGACGTTGAACTTTTATAGACACTCTTCACCCACATTTGTCTCTTCTAAAGTGAGATACGCTTATGGAGAATTGTGTCAGTCACTGCTTACACGCTATTATCCAATTTCCTCCCACCTTCCCTAAATTTTACCCCCAATTTGGCTCAATTCCAGCCAAGCCATGAATAAAATAGTATTAAAGGATTACCTTTCTGAGTGCAAACTAAGTTGTTGCGTGGCTAGCGGTTGAATTTTAGCAAGGCAACGGTAGACATAGCAGAAGGACATTTACTGGGTTCTTGATGCTCTCTGACCTTCATTTCCTTTTTGAAGACTTTCCATTACCTTCCTAGGTAATATCACTGATTGTGATTGTGATTGTGCTCTAATGTGGAGGAAGTGAGGTTTGTTGGCTATTACATATGGCAGCTTATTGTATTTGTTGTTGTTGTTGTTGTTGTTTAGTCGTTAAGTCATGTCCGACTCTTCGTGACCCCAT